TGTTGGGGTTTTTTTTGTGTATCCACAAAGAATCAGTTGCAAGCTCAAACCATTCAAATTTTCCACTAAGATTCTTAGATTAAATTAATTGAGAAAGCTTCCTTTGGACACCAGTGAAAAATCTTAAGGATATCTCATTAAGGAAACATTCATATAGCTTAAGGAAATGGTATATTTTAATCTAAAAGAAACTGCAGTGACAAACTATCTGTTTTCTGTTTTTAGCAAAACTTACAAAAATGTAGAAAAAATTTGTTTGGAAGGGGAGGGCAACTACATTTGGAAAAAGACAACCCTTTGGTAACAGAAAAGGAGCTTCTTCAATGTTGAATGTTAGTTTTTTTACCTTGACTCTGGGGGAAAATGACACTGGAGAAATAACAAACTCTGTGATTAGACCCATGGCTAGTGGTAGAAATATATCTTCCAAATTTACATTATGTAAAGACAGTTCATGATCCATTGAACAGAACTGAAATTACAATCAAACTGGAAGTGTTTTAGTCTTTGTTTGGGAATGGACATCGGATCTTTTAAAAGCAAGATTCAGGCAGACTACTTAAGCATTTCAAGCAAGTTAGGCACTGGAATATCTCAGCTCTTCAGTTGGTCAAAATGTTTGACTTGCATTTCTGTACTGCACTATAAAGAGGTAAATATTTTGACTTTAATACAATATTGATTTTTTTTTCTTTTTTTCCAGTGATTCTATTCTGTATGGCAGCCCTAATATTTCCAATAGGATTTTACATCAATGAAGTTGGAGGTCAACCATATAAACTACCCAATAACACAGTGGTTGGGTCTTCGTATGTACTATTTGTCTTATCCATTTTCTTTACAATAGTGGGACTTCTATTTGCTGGCAAAGTTTGTTTACCTGGCTGATGAATGTCTGAACTGCAGGACTTTGTTTTGGAAAAGAGCAAGACATCAGAGTTGCATTCTCAGGCTGATGCCTAGATCAGACTATCAAACACTTAAAAGAGGAATGCTTTGACTTGTTCTCACTATGCACTTTGGATTAAAAAAGGAGAGCCTTTCCCATAACCAAATACAGACAACGTTGACTAATCTCCTGAGCATATTTAATGCAGTCAGGTCTGCACTGTGATAGGAACTAGTGAAGAATGCTTTACACTGAGAAGCATAATGCCCCACGTTACTGTACTGTTCCTGTTTTTAATGTCTAACGATTTGGAAGTCAAAGTATTTATGAACTTTGTGGTAGACCAGAGGGTTGCAGAGGAATTCAAGTGAGGCTGGCCTCGCTGTTTAGGAGATTAGTATTTTACATCTTCCTTCTGATGAGCAAAGCCTTTGGCACCAATATGGATCAATCTTGCATTACTGCACCAAGAAGCCAATAGATCAAAACATGTTCTCTAAAACATATGTAACAAGAAGAAGACATACATCCCCTCCCCCGTCATCAGCTCTAGAAAAACACTAAGGAACATTTTAGAGGGGGAATTCTTCCTTATATTTATATAAATATATATATAAATATATATATATTTTGCTGATGCAGTATACAGTGTGTGTGTATGTGTGTGTGTGTGTGTGTGTGTGTGTGTGTATATATATATGTATATATGTATATGTATATACACACAAATGGTCCCTGGAAAAGAACTCAGAACGCTTTGCTAGCAAAACACTGTGGTGTGCAAAACTAGAACTCAATAGAAAAAAGCCATTTCTCTGAAGGCCACATAGCTGAGAGTCTTCAGTTTACCTCATTCTTTGTAGCAGCCCTTGATTTTAACAGTTTTTTGTAACAGGTACAAACGATCCCATGCCTTTCTAGGTGCAATTTTAAGTTAAGCTAAAATTCTTTTTATGGTAATTTATTTGTATATGAGGGTAGAAGGTGAGATCATGTCATACCTTAAAGTTAAAATCCTAATTTTGGGAAACTGACACTATTTAAATTATTAGCAACTGTTGTACAGAAAGTCTCTTTTTTCTACTGCTTTGTTACATTAACATTCGTACATGTTCAAGCACAGCAGTTTACCATAGATAAGCATTTCTCTAGCACATGTAAAATGCAATGTTTAAATACTGCAAACACTATTCCACCGTAAAGATGGATGAACTTAATTTTCGTGTGAGCATGAATTCATCTTTACAAAAACTGAGCAATATAATTCTTATATGCCTTGTTCACTAAGATTGTTATTATAAATGTGGATTTAAGGACTGTCTAAATTAGGAGTAAATATTCCTCACTAGAAGTAGCTTTATTTTTCAATACAAAAAGAAACCTTTGGATCTGTAGGTGGTGTTATACTTTGCTACGCAGTTTAACCTTCCAGAAAGTGAAATTGTTGTTAACGTCACTGGGAAGTTGCCTGCAGTATCGGTATTTATTTCCCAGTTAATCCATGGTTTCCCTTTCTGAGGTACATTATGAAAACAGAAAAATTGTTTCACGCGCTGTCTTGTTGAGCTTATTAGAGGAGCTGCAGTATTCAACTCTCATTTTTCTAAAATGTAAGTGAAAGCATACTTTATGAATGAGGATGTTGTTTTAAAAATATTAGCTGTTTCCAAAACAATCACTTACCAGATAAGCTTAAGTGTTTGAAAAGAAGACAATTTGCACAATTATTTTAAACTGTGTGCCATTCAGACCCTAATGGGTCCCTTGTCCTCTGCCTCCTCCTCTTGCTCCTCCTTGCTCTTCCCCTACCAAGGAATTTTAATTGAAAAAAGTTAATTGATGATTTACATAAGTTTTTCTTTTGACATTTTTGAAAGAACTTGTCACTAGAATGCTCTGTAAGTGACTTTCTTCCAGTCAGTTCACTCACAGGTAGAAGGAAACGTTCACAGAAAACTAAATATTTCTAAAGTATTCTAACCTGTAAATAGAGCCAGATTCCTACTTTGAGCTGCTGGTTTAAATTTGATTTGGTTCCTAATTTAAGCCTTGATCTGCATGGGTAGTCTGATCCCCAGTGATGTTGGCAGAGGTGTGAATGCATGAAAGATCAAATGCCTGGTTCAGTTGCTTGATGGGTGTCCAAATTTTCAAGTGTTATCACTGGTTGTTTACTAACGTACAGTATTGACTAAAACTGAAATCATAAATTACAGTGAAAAAATAGAGCTTCTTCTTTTTGGAAATGTCAGTCTTGTAAATAGTTCTAGGAGATTTTTTCTTAACTGGAACACAGGCTTGGGGGGGGGGAGAGTTTCTCAGCTGCTAAGATTTTCCCCCCCAGGCTTACTTGTTTCAGTTACAGTAACATCAGGTATACAGTGGATGTAGGCTTAGATTAAATGGATCATCATTTAATCAAAAACATAAACACTTATGTCAGAGCATACCCAGTCCGTAGCTGGCTGGAACTTTATCTGACCTGCCAATGCTACTGCTATGAATTATTAATCGATAGTATAGATTTAACTAGCAGATTGTTCAATTAGATATTTGCGCATTTGAAGTCCAGAAATAGATAGAGCCATCTGCATTTTAAAAAAACACACCCTGTAAACGAGGAGACAGCTGTCAACAGTTGCTTTTAATAAGGTCACTAAGTACTATATAGTACAGTATTAATTTATAGCAGAAAATCATATCTTGTAAACTGTATATAAAACACTGTTTTATGGTGCAATCATTTGTCAAACTTATGTCTGTTACTTTTGTTTTAAAGTTGTGTGCATTCTTTTCATACCTAAGAGCATCACTGTAAAATCTGCTGAATATTTATAGGTTTTATTTGCACAATGTTTAGTTTTAAACTACAAGAAGTTCGTACTGAACATGCCTAAACATCTGTAGACTTTTTCAATTCATGAAAAGCAAATGTTTCCATATGAATTTTCTCCAAAGGTAATCCCATGTAATATGTTGAGTGTTTACGTAAACTTTTGATTCTGCCAGCCATTACATGTAACTTTTTGAAGGACAGCTCGCTTCACACGTCATTAGAAATTCTTATTTAGCCTTTTGCTTCAAAATTCCTCACAAGGTTTGATGTCCTATCATAATTTAATTTGTGCACATTTTGTAGTTTATTTGGCGAACACCATGTAAGATCAGAAACTTGAAATACCTTCAGAAGGAGAGAACTAGTTAATTTGTCTGTATAAATCCTATAGTTGAACTCAGATGAAGTAATCCCCTGGAAGCTGTTTGTTCGGTTTTCAGTTATCTTGCTGGCAAGTGATACCATGTTATCCAACACGCTGGTAGTGCGCAGCAACACCTGAGCCCAGTCCTCTGGCTGATGTCAAAAACCGCCAGATGAGGGCCTTGCCATGTATAATACCTGTGTTTCAGAGACGTTACTTAACCACTTCAGAACACGACTGTAGATTACGGTTTGCCCAAACGAAGAGTACACGCTGTCCTTTAAAAACTTGGTGAAGGATGACAATAATGAAGGAACAGGCGGCTCGTCCTGCCTGCGAGGCAGCGGTCGCGCCCCTGCCCGAGGCCCGAGCCCGCGCCAGGCCTGCGGCCTCCCCGTCCACCCCGCCCCGCCCTTTGTTGAGGATTGTTTTCTAATTGGTTAGAACATTTTTCAATTAATGATTTCCGAACAAATGTTAATACAAAACTGTATAAAATGAACATAATTTTCTTCACTTGTATTTTTGTTATTGAGCAAGTTTATCAAAATAAATTGTCTACTAAAGCACCCGGCCCCGGCTGCGCTGACTGGAACCCGCACCCCGCCCCCTTCCCCCGCTG